GGGGGGCATGTCAGATTGAGAAGAGCCCGATGCGGTTTGAAGCGCCCGAAAAGGAGGGCAGATGTGTTCTCCGCTGTGGCGCCAGGCCAGCGACCCTAGAGTCTCCACGTGGGATCGAGAAAGAATGCAATGCCGGGCCCGCCAACTCAACCCACCTGCTTGAACTCTTTCGCAGCTGCTTTTCGCGCTTTCTTCTCCTCTGCAGACTCGTTCCTATCCCGCGCAATGGTGACTCTGGCGCCCGTCTCTGTCGCATCGCTCTCGTATCCTTCTTTCCGCTCCTCCTCCTCCTCCTCCACGCTAGCCCATGAGCCTTCAGGTGAAAAGGTTGGTGCGTTTCCCGTACTGTCCATCGTCATGCTCTGGTTGCTTCTCGCTGCAACTCCCGAAGAAGAAGAAGAAGAAGGAACCGAAGAAGTCGAACCCTCCACGAGATCCTCTTCTGCCTCCTGCTTCTTTTTCCGTCTAGCTTCTCTGGCTCCTACAGTGATGTACCTAGAAATACTAGGCATGCCGGTCCGAGGGTCGATCTTTATCTTGGGAATGCGGTCCACCGATGCGTCCGCAGCTGATGAGCCAGACAGACGAGAAGGGCGGCTGCCGATGCCGGACGAAGCTATCGTTTGCGGTCGATGGCTGAAGGATGAGCTAGCCACGCTGGTCGCTGCGTTGATCAGGCGGGGATGATTTTCCAAGTTGGTACGCGTAGCTGTTCGAAGGCGATTGATTGGCAAAGAGGCAACCTTTGAGCTCAGAACGGCAAAGGCAACGAAGCATGCCTCAGCACCATGCGTTCCCATACCACTCACACAATACAGTCTCCACGTCCCATTTGTCCCTATCGTCCGCCGCACTCCTAGGCATGGGCGGTTCATCCTCCGACTCGCTTTCGCTCTCTTCTCCCTCCAACTCCTCCCTCCGACTAATCAGAGGTCTACCCAGTTCCTTCCTGAACAATCCCAACTTCTCCACCGGACCCAGGTCCAATCCGCCCAATCTCTCCTTCAACTTGCCTCCGTACACTTCCTGAGTCGACAAGAATTCGTCGATGACTTGGTCGAAATCTTCTCGAGAGAGATCTTTGGGCACCGACGAGTCGACGTCTGTTGCGGATCGCTGTTCGTCTTCGTCTTCGTCTTCGTCTTCTTCCTCATCGTCCGAATCTTGCTCGTACAGAGCTTCCAGCTGTGGATGCGCTCTCTCCGAATCAGCCCAATTGGCACATTGCCGTTCGTAAGCGCATTTCAGCTCACCTTGTCGAATTGCATATCGAGGTCCGTCAATCCCTGATTCCTCTCCATTGCGCTCGAGCTCATACTGAAAGCCGTAGCACCACCCATCGCGCTAGGAGCGTAGTAGCTCGCTGCCAACCTAGCTTTAGCTCCGGGATTTCTAGATTTCCTGCTCGCACCCTTTTCACCAAAGATGCTCTGCGAACCAACGCTGGAGGGAGCTCTTCGGGCCTTGTTGGCGCGCACGAGCGTCGAGGACTGACTAGGCGCAATCACGCTGTTCA